ATTTGCCGCCTGTGACTGTCACAGGATTGCGCTCACGCTCCGTTCGTCTCACTGATACATTTTTTGAGCAGCTGATGTGTGATCTCTCGTTATGACTCGTGACCAGTAATGCTAAAGTGAAGTAGTTTTACTTTTTTGTAGTTTTTCAATGGCTCTCATCACACCGACGACATTACCTGAGCAGTCGAAGGCTGCGCATTTATTGCATGGACGGAGCACAATTTTAAGTGTCTAAAGCATACGCACAGTTCCATTGAATGATAGATGTGTTTTAACAATGTCTTTCAACCGAATGTACGAAGGAAACTGTTAAAATAACCAGAGCTTTAACAACAACCTTGAAATAAGAGCGCAAGGTTTATCTGATAATCAGATGCATAGAAGTAGCGTTCGTTACTTTAGCAAACAGACATCGGCACATATTCTTTCAGAATCATCATTCGCCGATGGAGAGGAAAAGTTAAATACTATAGCATTTTATTTTATGAAAATGAGATAAAGAAGTTTTCGCACTGAAGAGAATTGATCTCGCGCTCATAGAACGTAAAGGAACACTCCACTATTTTTGAAAAAAGGCTCATTTTCCAACTCCCCTAGAGTTAAACAGTTGAGTTTTACCGTTTTCGAATCCATTCATCTGCTAACTTCCGTCAACATAACCAACGTGACCACCTGCTTGCACAGGGAGCGTGCTGGGGACTATTTTCAGCCGCTGCGTAATATCATTGCTCCTGCTGCACCCATGGTACGGCAGCAAAGTTCCTTGATTAGTACGCTGGAATGAGAGTATAGTTCCTAGCCATATCAGCCTAAAAAATCGCAACTTTTCATTTTCCGTCGGTCTTAGTACACGATGTAACTACACAAGAGTCAAGTTTTAAATAGGAAAAATATAGAAACTATTTGGTCATTTTTGAGCGAGATGCTAACGGTCTAATCAGATTCAATGATCTATGCTAAGCTACAGCTAAAAGTGCTACCGCCAGACCCAGAGATCGGCTGCATGGATTCAAAAACGGTAAAACTCAACTGTTTAACTCTAGGGGAGTTGGAAAATGAGCCTATTTTCAAAAATAGTGGAGTGTTCCTTTAAGACGTGCCTGGCTATCTGCAGCTAAACTGAATAAAAAGCAGAATGAACTAAGACAATAAACACAATAAATAAATAAAATGTATGAATGATGCAGTGCTAATTGACATATAATTTATTACAGTACAGAAACTATAAAGTATATGTTCAACCTTATTCTGTGCAGAAAATTGAAATAATTGTTTGTAGTATATAAAACAATCATAAAATTGCCATTAGGAAAAAATGATAGATTACAAATGATTGATTATTGTCCAGCAGTGTATTTGATTTCTTATAGCAAATTCAAATGAATAGATAAGAAAATAATTCCTTGTAAAAAAAACAAATAATAATAATAATTATAATAATACATACATACATACAATTATTGTATTTGACATCTCTGTCACTTCTGAAATGATGGCTACACCCCTGGTGTGACAAAATGTTAGCCTATGCATAATACTTTTAAAGCTTTTTTAAAATCTTGGCTTACATACATTTTTACGCACACTCTTAAAAATAAAGGTGCTTCACGATGCCAGAAGAACCTTTTTGTCTAAATGGTTCCATAAATAATTTTTAACATCTGAAGAACCTTTCTGTTTCACAAAAGGTTCTTTGTGGCGAAAGAAGGTTCTTTATATTATAAAAAGGTAAGAAAGAGATGGTTCTTTAAAGAACCTTTGACTGAATGGTTATTTGTGGAACCAAAAATGGTTATTCTATGGCATCGCTTGAAGAACCTTTTAAGCACCTTTATTTTTAAGAGTGTATGCCATATCATGCCATAGCATCATTCAACTCGAATTGAATCGTTCTAAATTAGCAAAAATCGTTTTTTAAATCGAAAACCTATGAATTGTGAATCAAATCTCTGTCTACCCAAAGATTCACAGCCCTACTTTCAGCAGGACACAGGGGAAGGTGTTATTCCTAGCCCACACGACACAGCTAGTCCAATATCTTTAAGTGAATCGCCAATTTCAATATCTGATAGGGCAAAACTTGCAGCACTGTTGCAGGAGTACAGTGACATCTTTAATTTCTGAGGGAAAAATACAGGAAAATGCACATTGGTGCAGCATTATATCAAGACTGGGGAACATGGCCCTATTCAGCAGCGCGCATACCGTGCATCGCCTGAAAAGAGAGCTGAAATAGAGAGACAGTTGGCGGGTGTCATCGAAAAGAAAGCTGTAGCCCCTGACCATCTCCAATCGTGCTTGTAAAAAATAAATGTGCTGCCTGTAGCTTCTGCGTTGATTATAGACGCTTGAACAGTATAACGGTCCAGGACTCTCATCCTCTACCACGTGTGGATGACACACTGGATGCATTAGCGGGCTCCAGATGGTTCAGCACGTTGGATTTTTCGAATGGATACTGGCAGGTAGAGGTGGCCGAGCAAGACATAGAAAAAACAGCTTTTACTACAGGTCAGGATCTATATCAGTGGCGCTGCATGCTGATGGGGCTTTCTAACTCCCCCCGCCACTTTTCAGCAGATGATGGAGTTAGTTCTGAGAGAGATTTGCATGGTGTACCTGGACGATATTTAGATTTATAGTCCAACATTTGACAAGCATTTAAAAAAGTGTTTTCCAGAATATGTTCGGCAGGTTTGAAACTGAACCCCAGAAAATGCAACTTGGCTAGGGTTCACGTGATATTCCTTGGCCATGTTGTTTCAGAGAAAGGTCTCCAGCCTGACCCAAGAAACAAGGGGAAGGTTCGAAATTGACCAGTTCCACAGTCTCCCTCAAAGTTTAGAGCATTTGTGGGACTGTGTTCATACTATCGATGCTTTGTAAAGGACTTTTCAAAACATGCAGCCCCGCTGAATCAGCTGGTGGGCAAAAATGTGCCTTTTGTATGGAATACCGATTGTGACCATGCATTTAACTACTTGAAGGAAGTGCTGTCTTCAGCTCCCATCGTGACACTGCCTGATTTCAAAGTGCATTTCAAAGTTTATACGGATGCCTCCAAGTGGGCTGTGGGTGCTGTACTTGCACAGGAAAAAGATGGACTAGAGCACGTAGTAGCGTATGCCAGCCGTGCCTTGAATATCACACAGTGATCCAGATATTGACACGGTGCGGCACTGGGTAGAGCAATCACGAAGGCCTCCTAGGAGACAGCTGGCAGGCACATCTCAATTTACATAAATATTGGACTGAGTTTAATCGTCTCTCCATAATAAATGGACTGTTGTGTCGTTCAGTTTCCTGTCCTCCCACAGGTGATCCTGTTGCTCAGGTTGTAGTTCCACCTGCTCTTAAACATGACATACTTTTGCAGCTCCACGAGGCCCCAACTGCTGCTCATTTTTCTCCAGAATGAGTGTGGGAACGGGCGAGGCGTTTTTGCTACTAGCCGTCTATGTTTAAGGACATTAAGATGTGGTGCGAGCAATGCACAGCGTGTCAAACTCGTCGTAAGCTGGTCCCAAATCATCAATCACCGATGGGTGGGTCCCTGACAACGCGACCCTTTGAGAGAGTTGCAATGAGGGACCTTGCTGTAGGCAAGGTTTGGGCACGCTAGGGGTTGAACGACTTCTGATTTTTTGAAGTCGACTTTTATGTGATGAAAGTTGAGTCGAAGTCGACTAGTCGCTGATGACGTCATTAATGAACAAATACGTCTGGAGCTTTGACAAACACCTTGTGCACAGCTATGGCATATGACACAGCCCTGCCCACACGGCTATTGCTCCGATAACAGCTTTTTTTATCAGTTCTTTTGTCTTTAAGTCGTTATATTTCTCACAGATTTCTGCTCGTTCTAAATCAGATACAGATAAAGTAGCACAGTAAAGATTACATTCATATGAATGCATTAGTGAGAGCGATTGCATGTGTGAATGAATTCTAGCTGGCAGCGTCTCTCTCTACTAGTATTGAAGCTGTGGGATTTAATTATTAAGAAATATATGCTTGAACTTTTCAGTTTCTAAGCTATTTTATTGAGAAATCAGAACATTTTCGCGCTGAATGATTCTGTATGTGTGATGTACGCGCTACTGTCTGTATCATATGTGTGTGCGTTACAGTCCAGCAGCACATTAGATTAGAACGGCGATGAACTTACCTGTACAATAAGCTGTTTAAAACATGCATTCTCCCGTTCAATTTCGAGCATCCAGTAATATAATCACACATGTCTTGTAGAGCGCTTTCAGAGTATGCATTTATTTGTCATTTGAACTGTTTGGAAACTGAGCGTAAATGTGGAAGTCCTTCAAAGATTTCTTATCCTGTTGCGTCCTCTATAGGACCAGCGACTAGTCGACGTCAAGCTTAAAGCTTCATGGCAGAGCATTGATCAGTGCAACCCCTAGGGCACGCACATGTTAACGAGAGTGCGCAGTTGTGCCATGTGAGTTTCTTTGGAGATAAGAAGAATAAAAAGTACATTATTCATATAATACCTGAGTTTCGCTTTTTTTGTTTTATTATTTGAAAAGTATTTAGGCGAACCCGAGGCGTAAGCTCTGTCACACTGCACCCAGATCTGACAAGTGAAGTATCATCTGGGGCAGGCAGAGTAAAAGTAGTAGCGTTTTCTGTTTTGTCACGTGCATCAATTGGAGTGTAAACAAACTGAGAGATCTTGAGGCTCCTTTAGCTGTAAGATGTTGGTGGCAAATTGGTAAATAAGTGTAGATTTGCACTGTGTTTGCTCGTGTGAGATGGTCTGTGCTGATAGCAAACATTAAACTTCATTTATAGTTTATTATCCATCAACTTTCTGTTCTTTTTTTCTCATGGGTTTTGTTGACGCTGTTGTCAAACTGGTATTTAATCAAATGTGTTGATAGACACACATTATCTTTTGTTGAATGTGAAAAAAAATATGGCATGAATGTGTGACAGTAACCATGTTTTGTTGTTTGTTCTGTATTGTAGGGTCATGTGCGGCTCCAGATGTTGAGGTGCACAAAGCTGTTGGAGACTCACTGGAATTAATCGCTGATTATCCAAAAAAAGATCTTGAAGTGCAGTGGAAATATAATCAGATTGAATTTGCTGAATATCAAAATGATAATTTAAAAAAAGTGAAATCTGAATTATTTAATGACAGGTTAAAGATGAATAAGGACACTATTAGTGTAACAGTGACAGACCTTAAACTGCAGGATTCTGGAAGATTCTCTATTGTTGCAGTAAAAAAATCTGAACAATATGACACAAAAGAATTTGTACTTCATGTTCATGGTGAGTTTAATTGTTTGATATTTATTCTGTCAATGCTGTTAGGATGCAAATAACAAATTCTGAAACAACTCATTTAAGAACTGACACTGAATATGTTTGTGGTCACTTCACTGAAGTTAAATAGTTCTTTAATGAAGACATTAGTATGCTTATATAATTAACGTCGGCATATTATTCTCCAACAGAGCTCATCAGAGAGGTCAAGATTGAGTACAATTATTTCTGGCTGCAATCAAAAAACATCTGCAGGTTTCATCTCCGGTGTCTGGCGTCTGGAGATCCGAATCCCTCCTACAGCTGGATCCGTCATCAGACGCAAGGATCACACCTGAATATCAGCCTCCGTTTAGCAGAGAAAGCTACACTCAACTGCACAGCCAGCAACACCGTCAGCGTCAAGTATGCTACTGAGACTGTAGTGTGCACAGAGAAATCTGACAATTCAACTATGGCATCAGGTATAGTTCTGCAATCAAATATCGAATTTCTTAAATTCTCTACTGATTAAGAAATGTTATAGCCTACTCTGAAATCTATAAAGAAATATGCAACTTGGTGCAAAGATGCAGGTTTTCATCAGGAGTATTTGCTGATTGCAGTAGGCGTCGGTATCGTCGCAGTCATTATATTGAGTGGAACAGTCGCTGTGTGCTGCAGGTGGAGGAAGAATAAAGGTGTGTTGAACAAGTGTGAATGTGCACAAACAGTACAGAAGTTATACAGCATTTCATTCTCAACCTCACAGCTGTTTTCACACTTTCAGGACAAGGAGAAAGTGAAGCTGGTATTACAGACTATGAAGACGTGAACACTGCAAAGGTGAGCGGCTCGTTTCTGTCTATATGGATATCCGCTTTTTAAGGTTCCCGTGGCTCTGCAAAAAGATTTCAAATACATTTTTGAAGCTGTAATGAAAATAAAGATTATTGGAGTAAGTTTTACAAGAAAATACTAGTTATATCTTTCTACTTCAAAAAGTCATGGTTTATGCAATGTGTTGCTCGCCGTTTCTTTGTGGAAATTTACTAGCACCAAAAAAAATTGGTGGGGAAAATTTTCGCTCAGAAAGTGCTAGTAAATTTCACACAAATACTTGAATTGAACATTACATTTTAAACTAGAAAGACTGCAATAATATTTTCATGTAAAACCTACTCCAATAATCTCTTTTTTACAATAAATAAATAAATAAATTTAAATAAGTGTTTACCTTTTTTTTTCTTCAGTGTACGACACCACTTCCTAGACACACATGAACTTTATTGTAGATGCATACAAACCTAATTTGTGCATAGAAATGGTGATAAACTTCTAGCTAACCAGATGTAATCTATATTACAGAAACGATCTGATAGTGTTGTAAACGGGATGTCCATTTATGAAACGGTGGATGACATAAAACTCTCACAAAACTTGGTGAGTATTGCATGCATACATCACAAATACATCCATTATTGCTGTCATGCATTTGTTTGCTTATAAATTAGGCTCATACCATGTATTTAGTACCAAAATCATGCCTCAGTTGGCTAAATGAATATGGCATATTTGTGACCCTGGAGCACAAAACCAGTCTTAAGTGTCAATTTTTCGAAATTGAGATTTAAACATCATCTGAGAGCTGAATAAATAATCTTTCCATTGATGTATGGTTTGTTAGGATCGGACAATATTTGGCTGAGATACAACTATTTGAAAATCTGGAATCTGAGGGTGCAAAAAAAATCTAAATATTGAGAAAATCATCTTTAAAGTTGTCCAAATGAAGTTCTTAGCAATGTATATTACTAATCAAAAATTAAGTTTTGATATATTTACGGTAGGAAATGTACAAAATATCTTCATGGAACATGATCTTTACTTGATATCCTAATGATTTTTGGCATAAAAGAAAAATCGATAAATTTGGCCCATACAATGTATTGTTGGCTTTTGCTACAAATATACCCCAGCGACTTAAGACTGGTTTTGTGCTCCAGGGTCACATATGTACAGTGAGACTAAGAACAGCTTTGTTGCATGTTTGGAGAAGTTGACGTCTCTGTTGCGAAGCGTTTCTCTGGAACCTGTGGTAACGTCACACACTTACTCCCCCTGCAGCCTCAAACCCTGTATGACAAAATCAACTATCAGCGTCACCCTGCGGTCAGCGCCAGCAGTTCCTCCCCTTACCAGGAAGTCCTGTGAGCGTGAGACAGACAGACGGTTCATGTATTGTTTTGTCATCTTATCTCTGGATTGAGTTAACCAGCCTCCCATATGTATTGTTGGCTGCATCGGTTGACCTTTGAACTCTTGCATTAAATGCACTGTGCATTCAATGTATCACGTTGGAACACTTTTTATGACTTTTTTTGTTGTTTTTTTTGGCAGAATTCACAATGCAGCACAATATTACATTATGCACACTGTCATTCAAAAATCTAATTGGGCTCAGTAAGATTCTTTTTGAAAAAAGTATTTTATGCTCATCAAGGCTGCATTTATTTGATCAGAAATACAGTAAAAACTGAAATATTTTTACAATTTCAAATAACTGTTTTCTGTGTGAATCTCTGGTAAACTGTAATTTATTCCTGTGATCAAAGCTGTATTTTCAGCATCATTCCTCCAGTCTTCAGTGTCACATGATCTTCAGAAATCAGTATAATATGCTGATTTGCTGCTCAAGACACATTTACCATTATTATCAATGTTGAAAACAGTTCATATTTTTGTGGAAACTGTGATACATTTTATTTTTCATGATTATTTGATAAATAGAATGTTCAAAATAACAGCATTTATTTGAAATAGAAATTATCTGCAACGTTATACATGTCTTTACTGTCACTTTTGATCAATTGAATGCATCCTTGCTGAACAAAACTCTTACAATTTCTTTAAAAATCATTGTTGCATCCAAACTTTTGAAAGGTAATGTATGTATTTTTCTACACACTTTTCTGTAAATGATAAATACTTAAAATTGGTTAGTTTAACTTGTTGATATGCATTAAAATCAAAAGTAACGCAATAATATTGAGACTAAAGTCACAACGGTCCAAGCGATGATTGAAATCATCTAACCTCGAGATGTCTGTGTGAATGACTGTTTGACACGACTGTAGTACTTAAGTTTGGAAGTAGTTTTTTTCCTTAATAACATCATACCATCACACAGTTGTCTGTTCTACGATTCTAGCGAATCAGCAACATAATGAGAATAAGCATGTATTGTTTCTGCATGTTTTTATGGTATTTAAACATGTTTAGCATGTCCACAGCTGTAATCTTGTAATTGATCCAATTAAACCCTTCCTGTGTCCTCAGTTCGGGAGGAAGATTCATATAATCATGTATACATATTCGGTCTGTGTAGGAGTATGTAGCCTTTGCTATCAGTCAGCTGCTCTCAGATTGCAGAATGTAGAATCAAAGTCATTTCTCCTTTTTATATTTACACTCTCAGGCATTTACTGATTGGTCACTTAATAGCTCAAAATAATATCACTGCTCAGTCAGCACCATTATTTCTCTTTCTCAAGCCATTGTCACCCATCCATCTGAGATGAGTAATGCATCTAAATTATCAGCCTGACGCTTGACCCGCCACCTACTTCCTTAAAACGTATCTCTAAAATTACCAGAACGACTTTACTGGTAAATACAAAAATGCGATGTTCACACAGGCAACAACGTCCCCTCTTTTTACCGGTAAAGCACCGTTCACACATCAGTTTCAAAATACCGGTAAATTCTGTGACATCATTAACGGGAAAGGACCTCTAAACGGCTGCGCGACCCGGTGTTGTGTTTGTAAACATGGAGGGGTAAACGCAATCAGTTTTTGTCAATTGTTGATGTTTTCATTTTTGTGTCAAACGTTTACATTCATGCAGCTGATTTTGGCCCAGAGACATCATATTAGACGACTTTAGATATTTATTTGACTTCCGTAAATGTGTCATCTGTGTCAGAATGTCATGATTGGCTCAGAGTAGACGTTTTAGGGTAATCTTATACCGTAATCTAATTCTGCGTTCACACAGAGAGCGCATTACCGGTGTTGTGTCTGTTCCCCCTATTGCCTTGTCCAAAATACCCACACCTGCGGTCTTTGCGCTTAGCCACTTGACTACTTATATGACGTATTTCCTGTATTTAGTCCAAGTGTTCAAGTGAGCATGAAGACGACAAGTGTGTGTTGAACTTTTAATTACCTGATGGGACACACTTATAGTGTTGTAAAAATGCAAGTGTTTACAGAGCTTTATTTTTATTTTCAGTATTTTGCATTTTAAAATCAACTTCTAAATGTCTGTTCAGTAGTCCCTATAACAGATTACACAGTTTAATTGTGTAGTGCTTCTAATTAAGTGATAAAAAGTAGTTGCAAATGTTGTACAAAATAAATATCACCACTACTCATAGGCACCAATAAAACGTGCAACTCTACCAAATTATATGTAATATCTAATTATTATTAATATTTAACATTGGAAAGGTTTCAGTGACCTCTCGCGAGATCTTGGCAAAAAGTCTCACGATTTATTTCCAGAACATGATGCATGATGGGATACACTAAGTCTCGAATACCGCTCCGGAGCAGTGTGGATTTAGTGTGCATTAAGAGCACTGCTCTTCAGTGTTTTTAAGACTGTGCTTCTTGTGCACTTCCTGTCGCGCATACACTCTCAAGTGGCCAAGACCGCAAGTGTGGGTATTTGGACAAGGCATAAGTTCCCCACTACACAAACAGCGTACAGAGCAAGCGTGTGTGCTGGTTCCATTGTTCCCGCACAGTTTCCGCTTATCTTTTTATCATCTTATAACACAGTGGTTCCCAACCCTGGTCCTGGAGGCACCGCAACAGTGCACATTCTGCATGTCTCCTTTCTCTGACACACCAATTTCAGGTCTTGGAGTCTCTACTAATGAGCTGATGACCTGAATCAGTTGTGTTTGATTAAGGAGACATGCAAAATGTGCAGTGTTGGGGTGCCTCCAGGACCAGGGTTGGGAACCACTGTGTTATAACAGTGCAATCCATTGAAGGCACTTCTATCCGTCACAGCCTCGTTTTTAATTCCTGTCAAAAACTAAATATGGTGCTAACCTGACTGAGAGGCCACGTTTATCACCAAAATAGAGCTGTCAGTCCTGTATTTAAGTTCAAACACATTATTTACAGGAGTGACAAACAGCATTTTAACTGCAGTGTTGACCAAAAAAATAAGAAAAAAATGCTGTGTGATGTGTGATACACAGGGCAATTTTTTGCCATCAACGGGCAACCAGGTGAGACACACGACCGATCTAAAATATCCAGATAGAAATTTGTTGCCCATTCTCAATGGGAAAGTTCCCAAGCCACATTGTTACTCTGATATTCCCTTGTATTTTGTTTGTTTAAATGTATTGTTCTGAATTGTCTTCTTATGTTCTTTCTGTGAATGAGCCAAAGAAAAGCACAATGTAAATAAAACTTTGAAATACTTCTGAAATAAAGTCACTGGGCAGTCTGGACAAGTGTGAAAATGATTCAGTGGAATGTCCTTTAATGGAACCCATTTACAAAGTATTTACTCATATACAGTTCTGCAGAAATAGAGGTCATGTGTCCATAAGTTGACCACTTCCCATTGACGAGACAGAAGTACCATTACTCAGAATACCGTGACACACACATACTGCTAACAATTCATCATAACAACCCGAAATTACATAGAACATTTTTTTCACACATATTTTTGAACAAAGCAGCTATAGACGATTTGTTAAATAAAAAAGCTGCCATGCGGAGTCAAGATTTAAAGGCCATTAGTACCAGAAGCATCATGTCTGTTCAAACTGAAGGAGCACAAGCCTTTAGATCTTTGAGGCAAATGGATTTTGAAGACAACATCCATTTTTTGTATCTTTGAAAAGGTTGCCTAAAGTACCAGAAACCATCATTTACACAGGTGACTGATGACACATTTCATAGACCGGATCCAATGAGGGCAAACCAACAGTCACAACCTGCACACATTATTTGCTTTAAAATGAAAAGAAAAAGTCAAAAATAACGGTCAAACATAGCACCAGACATTCCCTTCCATAAGGTAACGGTTGCAAAATACGTTTTTTTCTTATGCCGCGTCTCCTTTCCCTTGAACCAGAGACGTTCACAAGTCTTGGAGTCTGAGTCAAGTCTCGAGTCGAGTCTCGAGTCATTTAATGGCTTGCTAAAAAAAGCTTATTCATATTACTCATGTATTGAAATCTTCCTATTTACGTTCAAACTGAAGGAGCACAAGCCTTTAGATCTTTGAGGCAAATGGATTTTGAAGACAACATCCATATTTTGTATCTTTGAAAAGGTTGCCTAAAGTACCAGAAACCATCATTTACACAGGTGACTGATGACACATTTCATAGACCGGATCCAATGAGGGCAAACCAACAGTCACAACCTGCACACATTATTTGCTTTAAAATGAAAAGAAAAAAAAAAGTCAAAAATAACGGTCAAACATAGCACCAGACATTCCCTTCCATAAGGTAACGGTTGCAAAATACGTTTTTTTCTTATGCCGCGTCTCCTTTCCCTTGAACCAGAGACGTTCACAAGTCTTTAAATTGGAGTCTGAGTCAAGTCTCGAGTCTTTGGTCACGAGTCGAGTCTCGAGTCATTTAATGGCTTGCTAAAAAAAGCTTATTCATATTACTCATGTATTGAAATCTTCCTATTTACAAAGCTGTTTTATCGGCTATAGACAAAATATACATTCTATGTTCTGCTTTGTAAAAAAAAAAAAGAAGTGTTAAGATGCAAGATTATTGTACATCCAACCTGTTATTTATAGGCTAGTTACCAAGTTCAAAACTGTTTTTCTGTAATGAAATTCAATAATAGAAGTCCGATCTACCATGTCACACAAGCAATATTACAATAAAATAAGCTTAAAACAAAGCAAAGCACACTCTAAACCGTTTTTATTCATAATGTTTTAGAAGTATTGTTATCGTGCTGAATTTTATGTACATTGCCATCTTTCTCCGACCAAAGTGACTTGAACTCACCTGACATGATAACAACTTTTATGACATTAACTAATAAATACAAACTTCCCAAGAGGACCTGAATGCAACAAGAGTACAAGCGGTTGGAAAATCTGGCTACGCTGATAATTAAAGTTACCTCACACACACTGTTTGCATAACCTACCCAGAAAGCACATGTACGTCTGCAAGATGTCTGTTAAAGATCGCTTCATCTGGAAAGCATCTACACATCTGATAGATGACTTTAAGATGTCAGTTTTACATGCATTCTAAATCATAAACATCTTAAAGACTTCTTCTAAACGTCTGTTTGACATCTGATAGGAAACGTCTTATAGACATACTGCAGATGAGCAAACACTCTAAAAAATACATAAAGATGTAAATGCAGACGTCAAATAGACGTCTCCGAAATGTACGTGTGCTTTTAGCGTGCACAAAAATATACTTTGAGCTTAATGGATTATTGAAAAAGAAAACAAATGTAGAGTGGGAACATCCCTGATAGCACACTTACATCACGGAGACATCTATTTGACGTCTGCAAGATGTATTTTTTAGAGTGTTTTCTCATCTGCAGTATGTCTATAGGACGTTTCCTATCAGATGTCAAATAGACATCTATTAGATGTCTTTAAGATGTTTATGATTTAGAATGTATGCTAAACTGACATCTTACAGACGTCTGTCAGATGTTTGTACACAGCAGATGCTTTCCAGATCAAAAGATCTTTAACAGACATCTTGCAGACGTACGTGTGCTATCTGGGATGGTTCTATGGATTGGTTGAAATATGGGCAATGGACTCAAAAATGAGGTAGTTGATTGAATTTGAGTGTGCATGCAGGGTTGGAGTTTAAGTGGACTGAATGATTGGAGTCCGGCTTGTGTTTGGAAGTGCATTGAAGCCCGAACGCGACTTAATGTGTAGTGTACAGCATCCTTAAGCAGCGAAAATCTGTTGGCGAGACCCACCTGAACATCCCACTGTCATTTGCCTGGTCACTGTCTGTTGACCGCTGGAGGCAGTGCAGTTGAACGTCACGTTTATTCTGCCATTAATTGATGCGAAAAGAACCAACGAAGAGTCGACGGAGTTCGGGATTCCTGAAATATACGATCCGTTGAACTCGCCATCAGGCGTCCAGGACAATTTCACATTTTGGCCAGATGCAGCGCACTCGAGAACAACGTAGCACCGGCTGTCACTGAAGGAATGGAGCGTCTTCTGGATGTCTGGTTTCTGGAGAGGTTCTGCAGGACGGTATATCAATTACTCAGTCTGGCCGAAAGTCATTGAGCAAGACTTTAGTAGATTGCTTACTATACTGAAGACTGCTTACCTTGAACTGTGAGATGAACTTTAACTTGTTTCCGATTGTCATCTGATGTGAGCAAAGCCACGTTATACATCATACTGTCGTTCACCGTCACATTACAGATTGTTAAATCTCCCGTACTGGTGTTGAGCGTAAGTCGACCCTGGTGTCTCCAAAACTTGTATATAGTCACTTCGCCGTCCTTTAGACTTGCGATATATGTTGTGTTCTTATAAATGGACCACTGAACTCTGGCGAGTTGCCATGATCGGTCGGCTCCAGATTTCAGGACGACTGATTGGCCACTGTAACCAGTAATATATTCATCGCTGCCATGTACTGCAAAAGTAAACACAGATCCATTGATTTGCATGAACACCCTAACATGTGCGAGGAAATATTTCTGTTGCTTCGCAGGAAAGGGAAATACCCCGTTTCCACTTCTCACAGACAGACAGTTTCTTCTCTTCTCAAAAAGTATCCAATAATCTTGCCCACGGGCCCAAACTACATTAGCTCAACAAACTGCATGATATAAGAGTGAATTCTGGTAAACTCACCTTGCGGGATGCACACAATACAAAGCAGCACGATTCCACATAGACTCATTTCTCGTTGGCTTGTCGGCGTAAATCAACGAGGTCCTTGAAGCCACTGGACTTCCTACACGCCACCCGATTGTTGGACTCCTTATCCAAACACACAGTCAACTGACTACTTCAGAGTCACGCTACAAACACTTGAATGAAATGGGAAGTGAGGCAAGAGAAATTATCTTGTGATGAGCGATGTTTCACGAGTTGTGGAAAGTACAAGAAATAGCACAGATGTAGCTTTGGTGTTTTTGAACAAACACTCCTAGGGAAGCAAATAAAGAGACCTTTCCATTATATGTGATGGCCACCACAGCGTTACTACGTCAGTTGTGACTCTAGCATATTTTGGCGGCATGAACATCCCCCGAGACATGTGACACTTCCTCTTCATCACCCACGTTATTTTTATGCGACAGCCGCCCACTCCCGAGTGTAACTGGAGCTTGAACTTCATCCATCGCATTAGTCCTGATCTGTTTTTTATTGAAATTATGAAGGAATCACCCCAATGTTGCTCCAAACCTGTGGAACACAAACAGTGTTCAATGCTGTTTTACATGCAATGACTGTAAATGTTCCTCTATCGTGCTCATACAATGAGCTGTTCTCTAGAAATCTTCCCCTTTTCTGTACCCGTCACATGTCATTTGGCCAGTTATAAAAAACTGATGTTGGATGTCATTGACATTCAGTGCAACCCTGATTTGAGAAACCATAGTGGGTGGGATCACCTGCAATGCAGAGGGCTTTGCGGGTGAGACGGGTGTTGTAAATGTCCTGAAGGGAGGCACCAACGATCTTCTCAGCTGCTTTCACTATGCGTTGAAGTGTCTTGCGGCAGGACGCGTTGCAGGCGCCATACCACACAGTGATGCAGCTGGTCAGGATGCACTCGATGGTGCCTCTGTAGAAGGTGCACATGATGGGGGCCGGGGCTCTGGCTCTTCTCATATCTGTGACCGAGTGGAAGATTTTTAGTGAATAATGGCTTGTTTGAACATGATGTTTCTCAAATATAACTTGACTATGAAAGAGTTGGAATACAGAGACTTTTATGACAGTTTACTTTTACTTTTTGGCTAAACTGTTCCTTTTAAAAGCAGATGGTACTCAAGATTACGTAAAATGATTTAAAATAAAACCAGTTAAAAAACGTTAGTCATAAAAAATGTACTTAAAATAATTTAAAACAAGCTTTAAAGGGTTAGTTCACCCAAAAATGAAAATTAGGCTGTTTTACTCACCCTCGAAGCATCCTAGGTGTATATGACATTCTTCTTTCAGACGAATCCAGTCGGAGTTATATTAAAAATTGTCCTGGCCCCTCCAAGCCTTTCAGTGGGGGTAAGCGAGTGTTGGTGTTCAAAAGAAGTGAAATAAAGTGCACGCATCTGTAATAAAACGTCCCTCACACGGCTCCGGGGGGTGAATAAAGGCCTCCTGTGCATCATGCGTTTTTGTAAGAAAAATATCCATATTTCAAACATAATAAACACTTTTCTATCACTTCCGCCATCTGTCATACCCGTCTAGGACTCCTCAGGTGGCGGTAAAAAATTATTTCTTATACTTCAATAAGTGAAATAAAAAAAATTAAAATAATAGTAATAATAAAAATAAAATTAAAAAAATACTATTTTCTAGTTTTAAATTAAATGCATGTTTTACTATCAAATCCATTAAAAAAAATCTAAAGTACCAAATGTGAGGTTGGTATCACAAAAATGTACGATTGTTTCGGCGCAGTACCAAACACTTCCACTAGATGAAATTTGTTTCCAATATAGTAATTGTTGACTACGAAAAGAACAAGTGTAACTATTTTTTTAACCTACCATTTAATCTTTTTGAATCATGTTCATGTTTGCATGTGTGTATGTGTTCACACAAGTGCTAAAACCAAGTTTTGTACTATTAAAAATGTTATATATATATATATATATAAATTGCTCAAAAAAGACTGAATGGCAGTCGTTTTACTGAATGGTACTTTATATTCTTTCAACTGAATATTACTGAATGGTAATAAGTTAAAAAACAAGATATTTCTCATTTTAATTCAACCTCAACTTCCAACAACTTTCAACAACTCAACCCTTCCCAACAATCTTAAACCACAAAGGGCATTTTTACAATCAATATATGCCAAGCTCTCAAATAGAAACTGATTTTTAAAATATATATTTTTTAAATCCTTAACCAATAACAAACAACTGGAAGGAAATTCAGTTTTTAAAATCTATTTTTATTTGAGGGGGCCTTTGGAAATTGGGGTCCAAAAAAGCTGAGAACCTTTGGTTTAATGCTGCATGCCCACAAACACCACCAACATCGTGTTATCAGACGTTCAACTTCATACATACTTCTATAAGCATGAGCCAAACTCTGTAAGAGTAGAGTCGAGTTGATCATTTATTACAAAAAAAAAAAAAAAAAACTGCTACATTTTTAGTTCTAAAGTTATCAGTTGCCAAAAAGATCTTCACACAATAACCAAAAATCTACAAACCTCTTTACAGCAAACCATTTTTTAAGGGAAAAAGTTAAAAGATTAGCTTCCATACAAAAATGATACAAAGTGAAAAAACAAAGTACAAAACCGCATGGCCTACATGCATGCATCAGACCTAAAGATGAAACAGTCAGATCTGATCATCGTAAACACCTACAGCATTTCAAATCCCGCTTTCACTGACGTACACACACACACGTATAAAGGAGAACGAGTTATATACAAGAAGTGGGGGGGGGGGTGCAATGACCCAAAGCTGGTAGACTAGTTACGGAAATGGGAAGGACTAGTTAATTCATTGTCCTTAAACGGGCCAGAAGTCCGACTGAGATCCACCCAGCTGTGTGTGTGAGGCACAGTTACAACATTTGGCACACATTCATGTTTTTGCATTTTGTGTAAGGTCACATTTGATTGGTCATGTCTGACAGACGCACAAACCAAACACTACACACACAAAATAACCCAACAAAAATCGTGAGTTTGCTGGCGTACAGAATGCGTTTCAACACAATGTAAACGGATGATATGTTAAAAGGCCCCTCGATTCATTAGAATAAAGTACTGCAAAGGCAATGCATACGATGTCTTAAAAACATTCACGACAGATACCGAGCTACAAACATGCCGCTCGAAGGCTTTTCTGGACCGACGGTCATAAAAAGTAAAGCACTTGAGCGCTCCGCTACAATCTTGTAGTGTTTCCATCACTCACGAGTGATTGTTTCACGGGTAAATGTGAGTGTGGTGCTATCATGACACCTGGCATTGCTGGTAAACTGTCCGTATTGTGCAGCACTGATGTGTGAAAGTGTATTTGATCGTTATTCACAGCTGAGTTAGTCAGTCCAGAGTCATCCAGACAGTCTCCAGATCAAAGTAGTTCATGAAGTGTAACAAAAACTTACAAACGGTGATATCTAAAAGACAAAAAACAAGTGGTTGTGTCCTTGAGACGGAGTCTCTTGTGGTTCTCTCACACAGAGGTCTCTGACTGGAGCCGCATCACGAACTTGTGGCTCTTGGGGTCGATAAACTCCTCCCCCAGGTTGAAGAAGGGGAGGGGCGTCACCGTGACGACCAGAGCGAAATCGAGGCGGCGGAGAGAGAACACAAGGCCCTGCCGCAGCGCTGAGGTCACAGGCTCCTCGCTCACCAGAGTCCACTGGCGGCCCCTGCCGTTCTCTCGCTGGTACTGCATGGTGGGGCCCGGGGCCAGGTAGCGCTCCAGAAACGCCTGAACGACAGACAGACAGATTTCATTTGTGTTCCTTAAGTTACATGCATGCTATGCTCTCTACCTAAAAGTACTTCAAATGGACTTTACGCTGGAATTCTTGTAGAGATGTTTTAAAAATGACTCTTTCACACCACGGGACCACTTACAATGAACTAGCGATGGACAAAGCTGATTAAATGCGCTGAAAAGAGTCAAATACTGACCAGAAGAAGGACGTAAAATATACACTTCGACATGCATACAGACATTACAAAAGCTCTTTGGCAACATTATGCATTATCTACCCATATAGACATGAACACGATTAAAGAAAAGGCCCAAATGGTTTGTTTGTGATTTAATGAAAAGAAGGTTACAATAATTAAATTATTATGACATGTGGCCAAGTATGGTGACCCATACTAGGAATTAGTGCTCTGCATTTAGCCCATCCAAAGTGCACACACACTGTGAACACACACACGGAGCAGTGGGCAGCCATTTTTTCTGCGGCGCCCGGGGAGCAGTCGGGGGATTCGGTGCCTTGCTCAAGGGCACCTCAGTCGTGGTATTGAAGGTGGGTATCCCTGCCGGTACGAGACTCGAACCCACAACCTTTTAAAAATCCTACAATGTGATTTTCTGGATTTTTTTTTCTCATTTTGTCTCTCATAGTTGAGGTATACCTATGATGAAAATTACAGGCCTCTCTCATCTTTTTAAGTGGGAGAACTTGCACAATTGGTGGCTGACTAAATACTTTTTTGCCCCACTGTACTTCTGGTTCATTCTTGACATTACAAAGTGATCGGTCATGCCGAGCACACTGCACTGTGGGATACAGTACACATTAAGGTCTGCTAATATAGTGCACACATATAGTATGTGATGGGTATTGCATTGATACTCTACACCAGTGGTCACCAACCTTTTTAGGCCCAAGATCCCTGACCTCGGCCTTTATGAAAGACAAGATCTACCTATTGAAGAATTGATAGAAAAAGACATCCCAGATTGTACAAATTTGAGGCCTTTTACTTAGTATTTTAATTAGTGAAGCGCCGATCATAGCTGATTCAGAATTCAGATTTTCTTTTTTCTTTTAACTAGCAAATTGGATTAGGATACTGATATTTAAGCAAATGTATTTATTGGCTATTTGCTTTATAACAAACAAACTGGCTTTAAACAAAAATATCTAGCCATTTGAAATTAGAGGCAACCACTGCATTTTAATCACGATCTGCACGGGCAGATGCTTTTGATTTGATTTAGATTTCAAGATTTAAAACAAAAACAGAATGGTCTGACTTTAGGTGTTCTTTATATATTTGCTGCATAAAACATCTGCATGAAACAAAAACAGCAGGTCTGAATGAGACGCACTCTCTGACAGCAGGTGGCGCTAATGAACAGGGTTGCCA